CGCGCGTGCGTGCCGGAACATACAAGAGACAAGTCTGGGTAAACATGCTCAAGAGAAAATGAAAGGGGTGATAGCTTGATCAAACATTTCCAACTCTCATTCCTCACTCTCTCTCTCTCTCTCTCTCTCTCTCTCTCTCTCTCTCTCTCTCTCTCTCTCTCTCTCTCTCTCTCTCTCTCTCTCTCTCTCTCTCTCTCTCTCTCTCTCTCACGCGCGTCTGTGCTCTTGCGTACATAAGCACATTCCTATCTATATACGAACATGTGATTGTAAGTACACACATGTAAACATGTGGGAAAGCACATGCGTGCATGTGTATGCACGTTCGTGTGTGTGTGTAATATATGCTTCTGTGCACTTGCATGTGCACACCACGGGAGTGTTGTATGTACGTACATGGACGCGCGCATGCCCATGCGCGCGTTCACTTACCAGCTGGATACCAAAACAAACATGGCCGCCGTCCACGCTACCCAGGATCAGCTGATTTTTGTAAACAAACATGGCCGCCGTCCACGCTACCCAGGATCAGCTGATTTTTGTAAACAAACATGGCCGCCGACCACGCTACCCAGGATCAGCTGATTTTTGTAAACAAACATGGCCGCCGACCACGTTTCCGAGGATCAGCTGATTTTTGTAAGCAAACTTTGTAATGGCTGACTGTACAAGGTGATATAGACTTGAAGTTGTCGTTGTGGGGAGTGAGCGAGAGAATAAGGGCATTGTGAGAAAGCAGGTGTTACAAAACAAAATATAACATAGAGAAGGTACAGACAACATGGATAGAGAAAGTCTATTAAAAAAAACAAGATGACGAGACTAGAAGCGGAAAAAGAAATTGAGTTCTCGCTTGATGTGTTGAAGGTATAGGACTTAGAAGGGATACCAGATAGACTAAGAGCTGCTGGCTAATTAACCCATATACCGCTATATACAGCACCAACTCCTAACAACCCACAACGATTCAATCACCACTCCGTAACAAATGCAACGGTTTCTCCTAACATGTAAACAAAAAAAGGGAAAGAGATCATCATTGTGGCGAGAATAGGCAACTATTTTTTATTTTAGCCAATGCGTTCAAAACGCGACGCATTTGTACTCGCCA